AGAGAGAGAGAGATGTGCCTGTGCGCGCATGCCTGTATTGAAATAGAGAGAGAGGTGTACCTGTGCGCGCATGCCTGTATTGAAATAGAGAGAGAGAGGTGTGCCTGTGCGTGCATGCCTGTATGCAATAACATTTGTTATCTGATGGGTAGTTGTGTTTCTGTAAATACAAACTCGCTTATGTAACAGTTTCTTGAAATTTTAATGTCAGTCTCAGATAAGACAACCTATACAAATTTGTTGACCTGATTTCTTTCTTTTTTGCAGGTTTAATAAGGGAATATGCAGTTTTTCTTTAAAAATGTTGGTGCCATTAAACATGTGAGATCTTTTAAAGAGTATATTAGACCTCAAATTCATAAACCTGTTAAATTGGAACCTAGAACTCACATCTATGGGCATGGAGCAGTTGGAAACTTTATTAAACAAAGAGATGAGCATTCCAAAGTCATGCCTGTTCCATTGTGTATGAAGAGCATTGTTGCTTCTCCGGAGAGCTTGGTATGTCCTCTCTCTACCTTTCATTTCTTCATTCTGTGTGGTTCTATGAATTTGTTCCGAAAGCCTTAACAACTTCCCCCTTCTTTTCTTTCCTTCTTTCCTTTTCCTCTCTTTGTACTTTTGAGTCATTACCGCAGTGATGTAGGGAGAGGGGGCCCATAAAACAGTATGCAACCCCAATGATGGGTCCTGTCTTCGCCCCATCACCATCCATTGATTGAATTGATAGATGGTGATGACCCCCAATGTAATATGGTCTCCCTTGGTATCACTTCACATGTTAAAATTACATTGTCAATATCAAAGTGAAGGCCTTCAATTGATAAGTTCACCTTGTCAATATCAAAGTGAAGGCCTTCAATTGATAAGTTCACCTTGTCAATATCAAAGTGAAGGCCTTCAATTGACAAGTTCTTCGTATCATATAAGATATGATTATATTGAGATTCATTTCCATTCAGTATTTGTGAAGCACAAAACTGGAGTTTTAGTAATGGATTTTTGTCATTAAAGCGTGTCAAAGAATCCAATTTCTGTTTATCCATGGTGCTTTTTTGGCATTTCAAAAGGGTGTACAGTCCTTAAAGCTTTGAATTTTAGCACGAGTAAATAAAAAACGAGGCACTTAACTGGAGTTTTGGCATGGGGGAATTAAAATAGAAGAGTTTTAAGCCTGAATTATGCTATTTAGGCATTTTTAGGAATCCAATTTTGCTGATATGTGGTGTTTTTGGTATTTGAAAAGAGAACAAGGCCTTTATCACTACCTTGAATTTTGCCATTTAAGCATGTTTAGGAATCCAATTTTGCTGATATGTGCTGTATTTGGCATTTGGAAAGGGTGCAAGGCCTTTATCACTACTTAATGATATGCGGAGACCAGATTTTCGTCACTCTGTGACTGGAAGATTGGGCCCCATTAGAAGTATAACAACGATCAATGGTCCAGAGGCCACTGTAACAGATGGTTCTGCTACTTCCCCTGATATTACTATGCCGCCTCGGATTAAGTTCAAGAGGCCTGACAAAACAGCCAAACATATAATGCAGGTTTGCATTCATTCAAATGTAGATCTTGTTTGCGCTAGTAATGATATGGACGGGAGAGAGCATTTTTATTCAAATTAGATCTTATTTGCAGGAGTGAGGGAGGGTTTTGTAAACAACATATATATTTAGGGTTTAGGGTTACCTAGTCTCATGCATCTTTTCCTGATTTGTTTCCCAGATTTTGGATAAGGAGGCAGTGGAGGAAGTGAGAAAAGAGAGAGAGATTCCTGATATCCGACCTGGTTATATCATCCAGATGAAAGTGGTAAGTGTTGTGGATTAGTCAAATTCTAATGAGTTACATATATTTTTTATGGTAAACATTACATGCGACGTTATGCATGCAAAAGAACTCATGTATAACGTTACATGAGTTCTTTTGCTTATCAGAATAAAACTTATAACGGATAAATATGATTTTTGCTTATATGAATAAAAATGAAAACAAATAAGTATTGGGATTTCTCTTAAAATGAGTATGGTGTTTGCTCTTTCCTGGTTTTGATTTGAGAAATTGAACAGGTAGTGCCTGAGAATAAGCGTCGGGTTTCTGTGTTAAAGGCCATTGTGATTGCTAGGAGGAACGCAGGCCTCAATTCGACCTTCAGAGTAAGGAGATTAGTAGCAGGTGTTGGGGTAGAAGCTGTTTATCCACTGTAAGCGAGATATCATCCCCTTCACTTTCTCTAATTTTTGGCTTTTAACAATCAAACTAGGTTTGCGACATTTGGTTTTTGGTTGCATTAAACCAAACAAACAAATAGAAATCATGGAGAAGACCGTCAGAAATCTCAAATGGTCTTACTCATGTGTGTGTGCCCTTGCACATGTGTGTCAGATAGTGACCTTCGGGAGAATTTAGGTAGGGCACCAATAGACAATAAGATGAGAGAAAGTAGACTTAGGTGGGCTGGGCGTGTGTGGTGCCGACCTAGTACAACACGTGTGAAGATGTCCGAGTTAGTTCAAGTGGAAGGTTGAAAAAAGGCAAGCGTCAAGCCAAAAAAAAATGGTTGGAAGTAGTGAGAAAAGATATGAGGGACTTATGGCCTCACTGAGGGTATGGCATTAAGAGCATAATAGGAGAACAAGATTTATGTAGCCGACTCCAATTAGTTGGGGAAAGGCATTGACGACGATAATTTATTTTTTCTAGTATGTAGCAATAAAATATTTATGTTGTTTTATCTGTAAAATGATATTTTTCTTGATTATTTGCGCAGATACTCCCCAAACATAATGGAAATCAAAGTTTTGGACAAGAAGAAAGTGAGGAGGGCCAAGCTCTACTACCTCAGGGACAAGATAAATCCCCTCAAGAAATAGAAGGAAAGTGCAAATTGATCGTTCATCTAATTACCTGATGTGAGGAACACTGTAGGGCATCTGGGTTTTACCTTTCTTATTTTTTGAGTTATCCTCTTGTCCACTAATATATGGGAATCAAAGGATTTTTCAATTTTCCCCCCTTTTTTTTTTTTTCCAGCGCATGTATCATACTTCTGCAAGAGCGCACTGTACACTTGCTCCCTCAAGCAAAAGAGCTGGTTAGGAGGATTTGTTTTTTATTTGAACTTTTGGGATCCGCTTTGGAAACATTAGATAAAATTTTTTTTTTTTAAAAAAAATAAATTATGAATTTGTGAACACATTTATTTTGACTGTCTAATTTTTAGAGGCTCTTTGTCCATACGCTCACGATGTTGTTCTTTTTAAGCACGTGTATGATTTTATTTTATTTTTAGTTTTTACCTATTTAAATATATATTTTTTATTTTTGGGTCGGGTCTGATGGACCCAATCTCTACTCTATCTCTCTCATCTCCATTATGGATGGCACTTTGGCGCACTCCTCTCTCTCTGCACAATACAAGTTACAAAAATGAAAGTCGAATTATCAATGAAGAACACGGCGTCCTACAACTCTCAAAACCTTCTTTATTCTAAACAATTCCCAAAACCACCAATCTCCAACACTGCCACACATTTTAGCAAACAAAACCCAAAAATACAAAAACTAAAAACATAAATATAAATATTTTATAGGATTGTATACAACGAGATCATTTACTTTTTATACAAATAATAATAAAAAAAATTATTTTTGTTTTGTACATTTTACTATCTAACATCGAACTATTGCCTAATAGATCTACAATGTTAACTATTCCCTAACAGATGTCTTTGATTATTAAATACTTGGTCGTTAACTATTGCCTAACAGATGTCTTTGGTTATTAAATACTTGGTCACTCTTCTATCGATCGATTTTACGTGTAAAGCACATAATTCAACTAGTAAACTTTAAAGCGTAAAAAAATGTGTAAATTGAGATGTATGAAAACTCGAAAACCTTGAAAAAATTGACTATCTACAAATGCATTACAAGATGCATTATTTTTAAAAAAAAATTTTGTCATGCAGGCTGGATCACATTTCTACATGTGTGGTCCAAAAGGTGTAAAGCATCCATCTTAAAGATGGATGCAAGTAGGTTTTCCATCTAAGAACAATGGAAACTACGGTTCAAATGTTTTCTTACTAGAATTATTATTTCTAGTTTTTAAAATTTATTTATAGTCATGATCTCCATGTTAGAGATTACATGTCCTTAAAAATTAAGTCTCAAAATCCATCTAAAAAATAGATTTATTAAGAGGCTCGCATTTCTTCATATGAGGGCTCGACCGCATAGAAATCGGGTCCCTTTCTAAAACTTGAAATCCATTTTTTTTTAATGTCCATACATCTTGATGTCGAGATGATCAATTTGATGATATTTGGGCATCAAAATAACATCTTCTATATAAACCTTTTCTTTATTTAAATGTTAATTATGTATTATTATAATATTATATATTAAATATTTTTATATAATAATACTATTCAAGTCGGGTACACATGGACCTGGCCGACCCGCAAGGTCCAATTCTTGGACCCATGCCCAGACCCAAGTCGAGTTCAGACATCATGTCCCGGGTCAGGTACGGGTCCATTTCCATCTCTATGATTTCATGAATCTCAAATCCTAAATTCTAAATTATAAATCCTAAATCCCAAATCCTAAATCCTAAATCCTAAATCCTAAATCCTAAACTCTAAACCGGAAACCTTTATAGCACGATATTACAAAATATCTGTATGGTCACCTATTAACAGACTCGGCCAAAAAAAAAAAACCACCAGTCCATGGTCCATAGATTAACTAATTTTACATCCCAATAACCACAAGTCATTAAAAAAACTAAAATCCAAATTACAATGTTGTTCAAAATTTCGGTGGATATTATTGAGATGAGCAATTGTGTGCTAAAATTTCAGATTTCGCATATCCACCTTATTTTCGTTATAGTTTTCGATGCGTGTGGACCCAGATCCAAAATTTCGGCAGCTGGATTTCTTCTATTTAATTTTTATTTAAAATATTCACAAAATTAACATTCCGTGACAGTGAATCTGAACCGTCCATTAGGGATTCCAACCCAAATCGAACCCCTTCATCTGGGAACCGTTCTGCAGAATAATCTCAGGCGTACATTAATTCCTCTCTACATATAGATCACAACCATCCATTATAAGAGGTCACCATAGATAATTGACTACACTCTCGTAGATCACAACCGTCCATTATAAGAGGTCACCATAGATAATTGATCATAAAAGAGGGGCATTTTAGAGACATGATGCCATTGAATTCGTTAAATTTTGAAGTTTTATTGCTATATCATATCGTAACCACGGTTAAATTTCCCTGTTCGATGATGTCAAGGTTTAGTTTTATATGCAAAACTGCATACTAAAAGCAAAAATAAAGTTTGATTACTCTATATATAATTAAAACTTTATATAAAAAAATTAAGAGATTATATACTATAAGACTATTTATTTTTGTTACAAGGAGATCATCAAATTGGATGGCCTGAAATGTTTCATAAATTATTATTTTTTTTGAATTTTGAGTTTAGTTAATGACACTCTTACAACCATCCAATTTGAAATCTGATTGACAAAAATAATTGTAACCTCATTGTATGAAAATTAAATGGTCTCTTTATATAGTTTTCTAAAAACTAAACAACTAGACTTTGACTTCCATGGCATTTAAAGAATTTAAGACTTGGAATCTAACACAAATTATTAATAATCCATCTCCACAGCCTTAGATCCATGAATTTTGAGTTTCAAAATTATGTAGAATAATTAAAATTAACAAAAAAAGTTAAAAAATACATTTTGATGCTCAAAACTCTTTTTTTTTTTTCTATATCATTATCAAGGTGGTTTAGATGATAGGTCGTTGACACTTCTAGAAAACCATATCTGTGGTATATGTATGATCCCAAATTTTGCACACACGCTCCCTTCATCTCAATACTCAAAAAAAAAAATTTCTATTTTACGCACACTCTCTTCCTTTGTACCTTACTTTTTTCTCTCTCCTCTCTCTCTCATACATCTCTTCTTAATCCTTCCATCCTTCCATGCTTTTGTCCAGATGTTTCATCTTTTATGCACTCCAACCAATAAAGGAGTAACGTACATGGTGCCAAAATTTCAGGGATGTTCCTTAGCCCGGCAGTGAGTATATATATATATATATATATATATATATATATATATAAAAGCAATGATCCAATACAACGTTTGTATTATAGTACGATGGAACGATACTTCCAAAAAAACCATGTTTGTGGTATTTGTATGATCTCAAATTTTACATACACACTCTTTTCATCTCAATAATCAATTCAAAAAAAAATTCAATTTGAACCTTAGATACGGTCAAAATGAGTCCCCTCCCAAAACGAATCTAAACCATTCAATTTGTGAATTTCACGATCTTAGTCTTTATAAATTCAAAATCATTTTTTCCTCTTTTAACATTGCTCATCTAATGATAATAAAGCCATCCAAAAAAATTGGAAATGAAAAAATCCTTCTAAGACCTAGATCTAAGCATCTCACCAAAATGAACGGCCTATGTTAATTGGGCTAAAAAAATACTTTCTAGGTTGTGTTTTCAATTTATTTTTTTTTTGTGATTGTTCATTAGAATGAAAAGAATGTACATTTCAAATTTGGATCAAACAAATGGCCATAAAATGGTTTTTTAAAGTTGTTGCATCATATTACTACTACATGAAATCATTGCCTTTAAAAAATATATTTGAATAAGAATTTTGTCCATGCATCTTGAATTTGAACAAAATATCATCCTACTAAGAATAATAATTTTTTAAAACATATTGAATGGAGCTTCATGCTACATAGAAATTTCATCTCATGCATGACTACATTTAAGACGTTAAAATGAAAAAGGAAGAAAACAAAATACTGATGAAGAATATTTCACAATAAAAATCTAACAAAGAAAGAAGTTTAAAGTAAAACCAGAAAATGTAAAAAAAAAAAACAAAACTATATATCTAAGTTACAAAAGAAACTATTCAATGGTTCAATCATGATTTCAATTAAAGAATTCATACATGATTTAGTTTCTACACTTAAATGGAAAGACTCACAGTTTTACGTTCTCTTCCATGCTGTGTCCTCCTCCAATGACCCAAGAAATTTAGAATACAGGTTTTGCTAATCATTCCTTTCATCTGGAATGAACATATTAAAGAGAAGGATTTTGAAAATTTTTGTAGAATCACAACAATCAGACAAGCACAAGAATATGTTCAATTTCTTAAAATATCCCCATGCTAAAGTACTAATAATATAACAAGCCATTTAATTTTCATGTCATCATTTCATGAGGTTGAGATGACCAAATATCATGAATACAACAGTATAATGGAATATCTTCATGAAATGAGAAATTATCATGAATACAACAGTATAATGGAATATACATAACTTCTTTAATGAAGGTTTTTTATTTTTTATTTTTATTTTTATTTTTATGATATGTTAAAGGTTGGAATGGAGGGTGGTACATTATATTGAGGCATTAGGACCCCCAACCTAAGTTTTTCACACGGTTGATCCTGTGTGACTTTAGTCGAGATGCCAAAAGTAATAAATCATGCGTTTCCTGGGATTATATACAATGAGAGTATTGTTTATCGTATACAAACCTCACAAACACCCTTGACCACCGGATGTAAAATTGGATGGATTGTGTATGTTATTTCCCCAAACATTTCCTGTACAATGTTGGAGAAAATATTCTTGGACTTCAACATCAATGACACATTTAGCAACTCAATTTCACATCTAACAATTAAGAGGTGATTATGAAAATATTTGAAGATACATATTTTTCCTCACATTTCAAATAACCTTAAACTTAAATTCTCTCTTAAAAACAAGGTACCAAAATTAGAGGATAAAGCTATAGTTCTTAATAATTTTGGACATGAACGAGAAAATGGCTCACCATGGATGCAAATGGGCAATTGTGGCTTATATATTCCTTTATGGCTCACAATGAGTTTACCATAGGATAAAGCACATCACCCCAGCTTCTAGATGTCATCTATGGTGGCTGGAATGGGTATAACTCTCTCATTGATATTTTCCTAGATTTGATGCCTCCTTGGGAGCACAATGTGTATTTGTTCCCTCGGGTAAAATTTAGACTCAGGATATTTTTTGGACCCCAACAACCTCTGGAACTTAACCCCTAACATAAAGGAAAAAAATATATTAAGTATCACTCTCTATGTACCTTAAAAAAATAATATCCTAAAATGGATCAAGGCCGTCCAATTTTTGGAGGGGAAGATTGAGGTGCTCAAGAACTCAAACACTATTTTTTTTTTGTTTAAAATAAAAATTTCATGATTTTAGATGGATCCCAAAATTTTGGATAAAAAAATTCTCTCAAATAGATCTTTTGTCTTAGGGAGTTATTGTATAATATTCTCCTGCGTGATCATGCTATACAAATAAGCTCTTATGTTTGATTTCGCTTATTTTGAGGATGAGAGACCACCCTTAGGTAGTGCAATTGAAAGTTCCTCTCTCTCGATATATATATATATATATATATATATATAACAAGAATATTTGCTACGCTCACAAGAGTAGAATATTCATTTACTTTACTAAGGTAAAATCACACTTCTAGCCAATTTTAGGACCCCAAATTTTGAGGATGTAATCTCTTCAACCCTTAGATCAACCTCAATAAAAAAGAATTCCTATTTGTACTTTACTCTAAAAAAATAATGTCTCAAAATTGAATAGAAACGATCCAATTTTAAGATGGCGAGTTCACTAAAAAAAACTCAAATTTCAAAACTTCTGTTTTTTTGAGAATAATGATCTAATAATTCTTATGTGGTCTCCAAATTTTCATATTGAAAAAGTTTATCAGAAGTAGGTCTTATGACCGAGGGAGTAGAAATAAACTATAATCCCAAGAGTGCATAGCATACATGCCCCTATCTATTTTGGTACAATGACATCACAATAATATTTACCACTAGATGTGAGTCATCCATTGCACACATTCTCCTATACTTTATAACACATTCTAAACTATCCGGTTAATCGACTAAAAGTGAGTGTGGCCTCGGTACAACTGTACAAGTGAACGATCTTATGGCATCCATTTTCTATCACCCTAAACTATCCAATTAATAGACTAAAAGTGATTATAACCTTGGTACAAATAAACAATTATAAAGGCTTAAAGTTGCAATAGATGTATATCAAGTAGCGGAACTGCGCTATGATCAACACAAGAAATGCAACTTGGTATCTTCAATGTGGATGCCATGCCCCTTTGGGGCAGTGCACTCTACGTAGGGGTGGCAATAGACCCAGACCCGACTTGGGTATGGGTTAAAAAATTCGACTTGACGGGTCGGATTCAGGTTCGGGACAAAATATTGGATCCGAACACTATTCGGGTCTGGGTCCATGTGGACACCCGAATAGTGTTATTATTTAAATAATATTTAATATATAATATGTTAATATAATTTAATTAAGATTTAAATAAACATAACTATGTGTTTTAATTAAGATATAATATTTTAATATAATTTAATTAACATTTAAATAAACATAACTACATATTTTAATTATTATATTTAAAAAAAAAAAAATTTATAGGGAAAATGACCTCTACCTCCCTCCCCAAAATTGCCATCCGTGTTAGACTATTGAGTTCACCACAATCCCTTGCATCCCCTCAAGTTTAAAATTTTGGGACCGTTAGCCCCTTAATTATGTTTTTGTTTGTTTTTTCTACAAATTTGATCTTTTTATTTTACTAAATGCCAAACTCATACATTTGTCATCTATAATTTTTTTTTATGACTTGATATATCAAATATATTGATGATGATGATAACAACAACAATATTATATTGTTTTAATAATAAATAAATAATAATCCTTTGATACTTGTAATAAAAATCTTGATTAATCGTTTTTCAAGTTCAAAAGATATTGATGCAATTTGTAAAATAGGTCATAATATTAAAGAAAAAACCATTTCTTTCAAGCCTAAATTTGTAGAGTAGGGTCCACAAAGGTAAGATTGATTTTGGACAGCCCAAAAGAAAGAGAAGGGAGTTGATTAACATTTTGTTTTGCCGAAAAGAAAGGGAATGGAGTTTATTAATGAATGGGTTTGACATTTTGTAAAGCAAAATAATCAAATTTGTAAAAAACAAAGAAAAATATAATTGGGGGGCTAACAGGACTAGAGTTTTAAAAGAGATTTTGGTGAATTCAAGGAGCTAATAGGGACGCAAATTTCGGGAAGGGGATAGAGGTCATTTTCCCAAGTTTATATAAGGTTGCAACCTTAAAATGTAGAATTAAAGATGCACTTCAAAATGTTTTTTAATATTGAAAAACCTTCTAATTGATCATCTCGACATCAATACATATGAATATGAAAAAAAATTAAAATTTGAGCCAAAAATAGTATATCTTGCAACACAATATCTAGACCGTCCATTTTCAAGATTTTCATAAGTTTATAAATCTACTTGATTTTAATCATTTTTAGAGTTTAAAATTTTATAATTAGATATGAAAATAGATTTTGAGATAATCCCAAGAAGTTTTTACCTTAAAATTACATATTATGATAAAATTTGGAGGTGCGCTTTAATTGGATTGTTTAAGGTTGCAACCTTATAAAAACCACACCCTTTAAATAAGTGTGTGGTTTCTATAAGGTCACAACCTTAAACAATCTAATTAAGACACACCTCAAAATTTTATCATAACATGTAACTTTGTTGTAAAAAACTCTTAGGATATCTTAAAATATATTTTTATATATAATTATAAAATTTTAAATTCTAAAAATGGTTAAAATCAAGTAGATCTATAAATATATGAAAATCTTGAAAATAGGCGGTCTAGATAATGTGTTGTAAGATGCACTATTTTTGGGACTCAAATTTTTTTTTTTTCATATCCATACATCTCGATATCGAGATGATCGATTAGAGGGTTTTTCAACATTAAAACAACATTTCCAATAAATTTTTGAAAGGCATCTATGATTCTACATTTTAAAGTTGCAACTTTATATGAATTTTTCCTTTTAAATAATGCTTATATACATTTAAAACAATATTTAAATATATATTTTTTATTTTTAGGTGGGTTTAGAGTCTGGTGGACCCAACCCGTTTCGACCCGTGCTCTCTCTCTCTCTCTATCTCATCTCCATTATGGATGGCACTTTGGCACACTCCTCTCTCTCTCTATACGCAATAGAAGTTACAAAAATGAAAGTCGAATTACCAATAAGAAACCGGCGTCCTACAACTTCTCTCAAAACTTTCTTATTCTAAACAATTCCCAAAACCACCAATCTCCAACACACTCAAACATTTTGGCAAACAAAACCCAAAAACATATAGAAACTCATAAATATTTTGCGAGATTTTATACAAGGTGGTCATAATTATGTACAACCATATGATGTGAAATATGATAACATGAACGTATCACAAAGTTCGAAAATATTTCTTTAAAGTTTGAACTTAGTCAATAAAATAAATACAGCCATCTAATTTCTCAATCTAATTTCACATCCAATACTTAGGATTAATCGTGACCACTTCATATAAAAAATAAATAGTATCATTGTATACTTTTCCATATTTTATATATCACATTTCATAACATACTAATATTATATCGATTAAATTTATAATATTTATATATCATTCATCAAGGTCAGAAGGGTAAAGAAAAACTTGAGAGAGTATCTAAGGTTGACTAAGGGCGACATATTCAATGATTGGTATATTCCAAAAGCACAGTTCCATGCATTCCCCTCCAAAAACCCTGGTCTTTCACAAACCCAATGTCAAAACTTTGCCAAAAATGGTAAAGTAACCTTAGAAATTCAAGTCTGTGGGTGAATAATTGAGTTGACTGCCTGTACAAACCCTAGATTTCACCAATTCTCCCTATGTTTCTGTGCATTCAATCAATAAGAAGTCAAAATTCCTGTGGGTTAAGTCAAAAACCACCCATGTAAATTTCTATATATAGGAATGTTGGTCGTGGGCCTAAGATTAAAACCAGGCGTTTTAAAATCTTGAGTTACCCCAAGAGTCCCTCTCTCTTTGACTCTGCTACTTTTTACTATTTGTAGTAGAAAGATGGTGAACACTAAGGTGGATTTGTCAAGGATGGCCAGGGCTGAAACCCATGGTGAAAACTCTCCATATTTTGCAGGGTGGAAAGCATATGATTGCAATCCATATGACCCCATGCTCAACCCTTCAGGCATTATTCAAATGGGTCTTGCAGAAAACCAAGTAGGATATTTTAATTTACTCGGCCATTTATCCCCCCCCCCCCACCCCTGCTTTTTTTTTTGGTATTGGTTTCCATCAGTGTTTTAAAACCCGGATTGGGAGGTTCGATTGATCACCAGCTGGACTGAACTGAATAGTCGATCTGGAATGGATCCAAGCGATTCTTTAATGTTGGAATCAGGTCCCAAAAAGTTTAAATCATAATTTTAAACTTGAAAGGCTTAAAATTTAAAAATAATAAGTTTTGAAATGGATAGGAACCGCACGATTTGATTGATCCGGATTGTCCAGTTCTCTGATAGAACCTAGTGCGTCTATTAAAATCAGCCCAGTTCTTTGTCTAGATTGCTGATATTTGAAAAACTTCTTTTATATTTCTCTTACTTTTCTGTAGTGTTTAAATTTTACTATTTATTAATGATCTGATTTTATTGATCTATATCATTCTAGGTCTGCTCTGATTTATTAGAGGAATGGATAGACCAACATCCAGAAGCGCTATCAATGAAAAATAAAATTCCCAACTTCAAAGAAGTGGCATTGCACCAGGATTACCATGGACTATCCATTTTCAGAAAAGTGGGTTTTTATTTAAACCTCTTTCTCTGTTTCCATGAATATGCTAAAAAAAACGGAAATGATAAAATTTCTAATTTTCATCACAGGCTTTGGCAAGGTTCATGGAAGAAATCAGAGGAGGGAGAGTTAAGTTTGATCCAGACAAGATTGTATTGACAGCAGGAGCCACAGCAGCAAATGAGATATTGACATTTTGCATAGCCAACCCGGGAGATGCCTTGCTCATCCCTACCCCATATTACCCAGGGTAATTTACATACATACATGCATGAAGAAATTCATGCATATGTATAGGTGCTTGAATAAACTTGTCACGCATTACATACATGCATACATATATACATACATGCATGTATGTGAGTATGAATAAATCCATGCATATGGATGGGGTTACCTAAATAAATTTAACATGGACACGTGTGTCTATGGTTTTTGGCTCATGTGGATATGCCAATATATGTCAAGGATAACACATTCGTGTTTGACAATTTAGAAACTAACGCCTTTTTAATAAATTTTCTTGATGAAATATCAAAATAAAAGTACGTCAATGTTACATAAAATCTCACATCCCCCTTTACAAAAATGGTGTATGGACGTTTCACAAATGAAAGGTCATTTTAGAATTCACATTTCTGACACTAAAACTCGTATTAAGCATAATCAAATATGTGACACACACAGCGCATACACATCCGAATATGCATTGCCACTCATAAGTACATAAGAAGCAACTTAAGCGCACACATATACACCATTAAGTGGGGCAGGTCCGTTAAGGCCTAGATGATCCGGATCGGGCCCATGGAGCCAGAGGGCCTTGATTCAAGGCCCAGCCGGACTCTAACAGGCCCTATGAAGGGGCCAAGACCTGCCTGTGATGGGCCAGCCCATTTATGCTATTTTGTACCAAAAACCTATATACTTGTGGCCTCTTCAGACCTTATACTAAGGCTCAGGCCCAGCCCTTCAAGCATACATGCCTTAAAGCAAGGCCCAGCTCAGCTCGATGGGCCCTATGAGACTTGTCCTGGGCTGGGCCTCCAAGGCCTGATGGACCAGCCTGGCCCAGTTTCACTCCTACATGTAAAGACACAGGTTCTTTATTTTTTATGAACAATTAAAATGAGTAACTTTACTAATGAGGCAAGTATGATTTACAGGTTTGACAGAGATTTGAGGTGGAGAACAGGAGCACACATCATCCCAGTCCACTGCACCAGCAAAACAGGCTTTGAGATCACCCTCCAAGCCTTGGAACAAGCATATCAAGACGCCCAACTCCAAGGAAAAAGAGTCAAGGCTCTCCTCATAACCAACCCATCAAACCCACTTGGCCAAACCCTAAAGGCCAGCGCCATACACCAAATCCTAGACTTTGTGAGCCAAAAAAGCATCCATCTCATTTGTGATGAAATCTACTCAGGCACAGTCTTCAACCCCTCCTCACCTTTTGTTAGCATATCTGAGATCATCCCAAAGTCAAAAAACACAAACCCTAAAAGCATTCACATAGTTTATAGCCTCTCTAAGGATCTTGGGGTGCCAGGCTTTAGGGTTGGTGCAATTTGCTCACAAAATGATGAAATTCTCACTACTTCAAGGAGGATGTCTAGCTTCTCATTGATATCCTCTCAAACTCAAGCAATTTTGACAAGCATGCTTTTGGACATGGAGTTTATGAGGAGATACATGGTGATGAGCAAGAAAAGGTTGAGAGAGAGGCATGAAAGGCTTGTTGGGGGGTTGAGAGAGATGGGGATTGAGTGCTTGGAGGGGGGATCTGGCCTTTTTTGCTTTGTGAATTTGAGGCACTTGCTGGAGAGAGAGAGTTGGGAGGGGGAGATGAGGCTTTGGGAGGTGGTTTTGAATGATGTTGGCTTGAATGTGAGCCCTGGCTCTTCTTTCCACTGTGAGGAGCCTGGGTGGTTTAGGGTTTGCTTTGGGAACATGAGCCAGGAGGCCTTGGATGTTGCTCTTCAAAGGATTAGGGATTATTTCATGGTGCATGGGAAGAGGGTTGAGGTGGTGGGTGGTGGTTCTAGTGTTGGTTGGGCCACAAGTGCCATGGATGTGGACCAACAGGCTGAACCACAAGATTTGGTGATCATTTGATGAGGTTGTGCTTCACTTTATATATATATATATATATATATCTAGAGAGAGAGAGAGAGAGAGAGAGAGAGAGAGAGAGTAGT